CTTTTAACTTGTCAATTACACACACAATAATATATTTTTTGTGTAAAAAATTCTTAAGTATTATACCAACAATGAAAAATAATTTTTCGTTTTCCTTAAAATATTAAACAAATGACCATTCATGTGAGATAATTTTTAAATAAAAAATTACATAATAATTTGTACCGGGAGAGTTGTGAATGTTTACCACTGAGCATGGTTTTAAAAACCAGACCGGTAATAGAATTGGTTTATTCATCGATTTTTGGTTTGGTCAGTCTAATCGATTTAACCGGTTGATCGGCCAGGTCAAAGCTAAAGTGCCAAAAACTGCGCTTTTGAGTTTTTCGACTGAATTTTGCTATTGTTTTTACATTTTTTTTCCTTACAATTTGTAGTAACTCAAGTCCAAAAACTCAATAAATAGATAAAAAAAAGTGTTATACAATTACAAATCTCAAAATTAATAAGTCTCACACACATATATATGAAAAATAAATCCAAAAGTTCAAACTAATATGCAAATGATGCATAAATTAAAATTGTTCATTGTTTATCTCCTAGATGAGGAGGATCTTCATTAAACCAAGCATCACGTTCACAAAAATCATTTTCACTATCATAACTATCATCATTTTCTTCACCAATTGACTCCAAGTCAATTCCTCCACTTGTACCACCAATATGAAATAATCCTTCTTCACCACCTTGCACTTTTTCATTAACATTATGTCTGCTACTTTAAAAGTTGAAAAGCAAAAACATATAATAAATAAAAATCAACAATCACAATTCAAAACTAACTCACATAATTAATAAAATAATTCATAGAATGACAAAATAGCATAATAAATTTAAAATCAAAACACTATGAAGAGAAGTTTTGATTATTCACTAACCTTCTTTTTGAGTTGTATGACATATTGACATTGTTTTATCATTATAAATCATATTTTCCAATTCATCATAATCAAGAATTAGAGAATAATCTTCTTCCATGACTCATTCCTCAACATTGTCTATGCTTTCATAATCAATAGCATCAAAGCAAGTCCTCCTTTTGTTATCATTCCTATTATTCAAGATAAAAATAAAATTTCCATGATAAAAATATAAGAATATATAAATAATAAAAAATGAAACTTTATTAATATAGCACAATTATTATATAGATTAGATAAAGTACCTATATTTCAAGCGGAAATTATAATGCACATAGACGAGACCATTCAACCTTTGGTGCTCCAATCTATTCCTCTTTTTGGTATGTATTCTTTCAAATACACTCAAATTTCTTTCACACCTCGAAGAAGATGATGTTGACTCAAGAGTTGTATTGCTAACTTTTTAATATTTGGAGCACTATATCCAAAATATTTCCACCACTTATCTATGGAGAAAATAAAAAGAAAAAACATGTATAAGTGTTAAAAAGTTAAATATCATTAAATAAAAGTGTTGTAATCTAAAAAAAAAACTTAAAAAATTGAAAATTTACCAAGTTTCATAGTTTTTGAGGATTCAAGAACATTTTCATGACCAAAACTTTCCCTTTTTTTGTTATACAACTCACACTCATTCAAAAATTTAGACCTTTGAGATATCACTTTTGCACCCACAACATCGAGAAAACCTTTCATGACTTCTTTTTGGTTGAAAATTTGTCTTTATTGTAGAAAAAGGCAGGATTTAAGTAATAGGCAGTAGCATGAAGATTTTGACAAAGTTGACTATCCCACGTTTTCTTAATAATTCTTGTATAAGGCTTATACAAAGACTTTTTATTCATCAAAATAGTCTGAATGACTTTTCTAGCTCTATACATGCCATCATATTCATATCCAAGTGAAGGCCTCTCGTCACCACCCATAATTCTAAGCAAGTGAATAAGTAGCCCCACAATTTTCACAACAAGCTCACAATTATTTTAGAATATTTTATCTAGAACAACAGTCACAGCATCATTTGCCTTATGATCCTTGTAGTATCTAGACTCTTTAAATTCTAGACTAGTCACCAATGCTTGTAAGTCATGCCTATGCTCATGGATGCTTTTCAATGCAATGAATGTTGTTGCAATATGTGTTGGCCTGGGACGTATAATTTTTGTCCATCCTTTCTTTTTTCGTAGCCAAGCCAACAAGAAAGGATGATTGTATATAAATTTGGATACCAAAGATGCATGACTTGCAAGATTACTAACAACCTCCAACTTTCCCATATCACTCAAAATCAAGTTCAAACAATGTGCAGCACAAGGAGACCAAAAGATTGTAGGATAAATGTCATTTAACAATCTCCCAGCCTTTTTATAATTGGTTGCATTATCAGTCACTAAGTGTACAACATTATTAGAACCCACAAACTCAACCAATTCCCTAAAAAAATTGCAAAGCATGGAAGCATCTTTAACAACATCAGAGGCATCAACAAATTTCACAAAGATAATTCCTCTAGGACAATAGACAAGAAAATTAATTAACTGCCTATTTTTCCAATCTTGCCAACCATCACCCATAATAGTACAACCAGTTTCTACCCAAATATTCCTATAAGAATTAACCAACAATTGAACCTCTTGTTTTAAATCATGCAATAGATTGCTTCTCATGACATGACAACTTGGTACCTTAAAACCAGGGCCAATTATAGCAATAGCATCAAGCATATGTTGAAAGTAAGGGGAGTTGATAGCATTTATGGGCAAACAACTATCAAAAAAGAATCTAGCAGTGGCCAAATTAGCATTATGGATAGCATCTTTACCTGCCAAGGCATTTCTAATTGATGGTTGAGCTCCAACAGTAGTTCTTGGAGCAAAATAATTTTGTATACCACTTGCTTTCCTTTTTCTATCCGTATTTGTTGAAATTTCTAATCCCTTCCCTTTGACTTGAGATTGTGGACAATGTGGAGTTGAAGAAGGATTTGGAATCTCTTGTAAGTCTGGTGCATCTCCATTAGACTATCCAAATGGATTATCTTCCCATATGTTTTTTTCTTGCTTCATACTTCAATTTCCTTCAAACTCTGTTGCGTCTGATAACGAACATCAAATGACACCTGATCACACTTTTTGACATTTCCACCCTTTCTAGTAAGGTGTTGTTTTATTCTATTAAGGCCTTATCCTCTAAATATCTTTTGGCAGTGCAAGTATTTAATTTTTTTTTGTGCCTACTATAATTTCAACACAATGCTCCCATGCTGCATCTATTTTAGCTCTTGAAGGTTGGGAGGATGTAGCAGTTGAATTTTATCTAGAGGATGACACTTTTGCAATTCTACAACAAATAAAAGAATCAAAATATTTAAAATTTACTAAATATTTTCAATTTTGATGACTTTGATCAATGACACAACTTGATAAAAAAAAAAGACAATGTTTGAGACCATATTGCACTAGTAGCATCAATTAAATAGTGAAACAAATCCTTTGTCATTACAGATATCTCAAGCAATTCCTATGGGTAAATAACAAACTTTGAAAAAATGAAAATTTACAACAAATTGCTAAAAATTCTGCAACAAATTGAAAACCAGGTCTTGAAGCGAATTGAGCAACAAATTGAAAATTCTACAACAAATTTGTTGAAATTCTGCAACAAATTGAGATTCCAAGAGCATTGCTCAACTAGATAAAATGAGGATTTTTGAAAATTATGCAACAAATTGCTGAGAAATTGAAAACCAATGAACTTACCGACAGATAGAAGAAACAGAGGCATGATTAATTGTTGAGGAGGAAGGAAAATATCATTTGCAGTAGCAACCCTTAGATGGCCAATGAAGGTCGAGGGTGGTGGGTGAAGACTACTGGGTGAAGGCCAGTTAACGAAGGCACGGTGGAGGAGGAAGGGAAATTCTTTCCAAAAAAGATCTACTGCTGCTTGTTGGATATCGCTTTGTGTCGGATACCAATCTGTTGCTCAATTTAGAGAGACGATGAACGCCAATCTGCTACCCGATTTACTCCCTGTGGTTTCTTATTCGGCAGACTAGAGAGTTTAGTGGGTTTTTTTTTCGGTGGACTAGAGAGTGGAGAAGGAGAACGGAGAACCGATGGATGATGAAGACTAGAGAATGTATTTTTTGATTTTGTTTTGTGGTGGAAAAGTGGTGAGATTTGAGAGTTGAAAAGTCAAGACTTGAGTTGAGAATGAGACTGAGAGTGAGACCTCGATAGTGAGAAAAAACAAAAAAAGTTGCAGCGTCAGCATGTAGCAATTTGCCCGGTAGGTTTACCTGGTCTGTCGGGTAGGATGGGTCGCCAAAATTTTTCAGGTTTGATCGGTTGAATCACCAAAATGGGCATGGGTGTCCACCCAACCCGTTTCAGCCACCGAATGCTGGTTGAACTTATCGAACCGACCAATCCAATTCAGGTCTCAAAACAATGCCACTGAGGCAACAATACGTGAGGGATTTTAAAATCAAGGACTTTTTTTATCATATATCTTTAGAACATATATTAAAAAATATATTAAAAATATAAGTAATATATTTTTTATAATTAATTAATAAAAAAATTAATATTAATTTTAAATTA